TCTTCATTGTCCAGTTTATCCTTTCTCTTGGTGGCCTTTCAGCCTGAAAACTTGCTTTATACATCTAAAGAGAAGGATACTGTACTCAAACTCACAGACTTCGGCTTTGCCAAAGAAACCACTGTACAAAATGCGCTGCAGACCCCCTGTTACACTCCTTATTATGTGGGTAAGTTATCCAAGATGTATTTCTTTGGGTGTTCCCTTGAAAAACTTCCCTTAGCTTAACTAATGCAATAAAAGAGAACAGGGAGAGTATTACCTCAGGTATAAAGCTTCTAAAAGCTGGCAAATGGAGGTATTAATAATAAAAGATACATGTGACTTAATCCTAGCTGAGCTTTTCGATGCATTTTGTCCAAAGACAGAGCACTGTGTAATGAATGCGACAGTAGACTGTCCTTTATGCACTAATTTTAGAGTATGTGCCTTTTGGTTTTTGGGTTAATAGTCATTCACCGTATGGTATGACTGAGGCAGTCCGCACTTGGAATTGCTTTGGAGGAAAAAGGGCTTAATTTTTGGAAGAATCAGTTCTCTTCTACAATGTAAGTTTTACAGGTTTTTTTGTATTGAAAGGTGTTGTTAATTCATTGTTAGCAGGTAATTATGGTAGCAGTATTTTTTTCTGATGCTTTCTTTTGTATTTTTGTAAGCTGGGATTAGTGATAAGATGTTAAGTATTTATGCATATATGTTTTTATACCTTTATATTTGTATATAAACAAGCTGACGTTTCCCTTTTCAACACCTTTTTATAAACCAGCATGATTGCTTATATATTTAAAGAATCATTTTCCTTCCAAAATCAAGCTGCCTGCCAGTTCACCTGCCCCAGGGAATAAAAAAATAATCCTCTCTAAATGTGTATCTCGCTAATTTTGTTACTTCATGAAAAGATACAGTGCTCAGGAGGCTAAAGAAAATATAGTACTCTGTAGTTGCTGGAGCTAAACACGCTCCACCTAGGTATCGTTCAAAATTTTATCACAGCTCAAGCAGGTCCTTTCTGTTCTGATTTCTGGAACATGTGCTCCTGCCTTTTTCAGTGCAGTGTCTCCCTTAGCTATAGCTCCTTCTGCTTTTCTGTAATCTTAGTACTCTCTTAAGCAGAGAGACAATAAGATGAAGAGTAGGGCGTTTTGTCAGCTCCGTTCCTCCTTTTTAAAGCTACACTAGATGTGTTTAGGACCTTGTCAACAGAAAATACTACCCAGTTCCTGCAGTGAGTTGCATTTTTTAATGCCTCAAATACTTGTTTTTGAAGTGCACTGCTACTTACAAGGTTATGGAAATGAAAGGAAATATCTGGTACTCCATTAATTTCTGGTTTTAATCTTCTTCAGCCCCAGAAGTCCTTGGTCCTGAGAAGTATGACAAATCATGTGACATGTGGTCATTGGGTGTCATCACATACATTCTGTAAGTATTTGGAAAGAAGCTTAATGAACAGAAAAAGGACACATCTTGTTAAATCTTCACTTAGCGGTAATTAGTCACTAGGATCATGCAGCCTACAGAAGAATATATGCTTGTATGGGACTTTTTAAGAGATTAATGCACTTCCCTGGTTGTAAGAGTTCTTTTGTCCACTCTTACAGCCTGTGTGGGTTCCCTCCATTCTACTCAAACACTGGCCAAGCCATTTCTCCAGGGATGAAGAGAAGAATTCGGATGGGGCAATATGGTTTTCCCAATCCAGAGTGGGCTGAAGTATCAGAGGAAGGTAACAATGCTCACTGCTGCTGCTGAGTATGTGCACGGTGTTGTACAGTGGTGGAATGCTTACAAGAGACTTTCTAAAAACCTGTCTTAGTTTTTGTTTCCCTTTCTTTTAGAATTTCAATTAATTTTTTGTAAGGTGATACAGAGAATGACTGGGAACTCAGATACTAGCCAGCAATCTAAGTACTACAGAAAGTAAATGACTACTGAAAACTTTCTTTCAAATTTCAGCTAGTGAATACTGAGATTAAACCCTCTGGAAACAAAAGTCTTTAATCCTGAGAAAGGAGACTGCCAGGACAGCTGCAATGCAAGCTGAATTGGAAGAAAGGCAAAATGTCTCAAGAACTCATTCAGTCTTTGCTCTCCTTGATGACAGAGCCAGCAAGGATGGCAAGTTTTCATGCTAGAATTTTGTGATGTGGGAACTTGACAGCCACCACTTAAATCAAGGTCAACGATTTATTTTGTGTAAGTCATTGACCAAAAGCTGCTGCTGTTCAGCTGTGACCTGGATAGGCTCAAACCAGTGTCCTGAAAGTGCATGTTTTTGATTCTTTTATTCTGACAGTCTCAATCTGGAAGTCTCACCTGCACGTCATAATAGAAAGAAAGGTCAGCGACCTCTGGGCACATCTTTTTTTCTAACAAGCAGGTTCCCTGTCTTGGTTTGAAAAGACAGGTGTCT